TGTGATTTTATGGATATTTGACGTTGAAATTACGTTAAAGTTATACCAAAAAAATTATATCACAGGGGGTCATTTGGCTTTATAGTATACTTATCTTTTCCCACTGTGCCTTACTCCCACAACATTTGACTATGACTTCACAAAACCTCATTGGATAATAGAGGTGCAATTTTATCTGAATTGTTATTTTTTTGATAATGTGTGTGCTTTCTATTTTGGAATGTTAATGACGATGTACTGTATGTGAAAGTCAGTTCAGAATATTTATTTTCCTTTAAGAGTCATCGCTACAGTCCAGACTCTGTCTAGGCCCGCATCACAGAGGGCGAGCATGAACATTGACACAGGCATGCAGCATCCTTTGCTCACATGTTTAGAGCAGTTACATCCATGGTTAAGAAAGACCCATTCATGATTCACCCTATAATCCCCCACTGTTCGACCCCTCGGCTTCTTAAGTAGAGCAGTGAGGGTCCAAAGGAAACAGCCTCACATTCCTCACTGATATAGTTTATTATTGGAAAAATAAGCCAGTCTAAATCATGGGCATTGAAGAACAGACTCTTTGCCCATGTAGGAAAATGTAGGTGACGCTTATAGGAAAAAAAACGTGTCCCTCCCATAACTGAGTCATTTTAAGTCCTTGCATACACAAAGACTGCTTTGAGAAGATGTTTTTAGAAGATGTTAAACCCATTTTTAGGCTTCTTTAAATAACTTCTTTCTACTGTACTTGCCTACTGGTTATGCAAAGTTGTAAAAAAACGGATCTTCGGTTCATTTACACTAAAGGAAAAACTAATCATGAAATAATTTAATGACTGATTTTAAATGCCATTTTCTTAATGTCTTCCATTTTTGTAAAGCACTTTGAATTGCCTTGTGTTGAAAGGTGCTATATAAATAAACTTGCCTTGCCTAATCAAAATGCCAGAATCTCATCTGAAGATCTAAAATGAACATCAACCAACCACACCAAGATCATTGCAAGCCTTTCCTGTCACTTGCTGTAACCTGTGGTTAACAACTCCTTTTGAAAAGAGTCATGCATGTTTAACTGACAGCATTTAAGGCCTGGGTGGGAACTTGAGCAATTGCAATATTCCTGAATGAAACATCCCAATGCAGATGATGCTATAAAAGACAGTTCAGGGCTCCAATGGTGTCTAAATTAAGAAATGTTTTTCAATCATCTGGGTCTAAATGCAAGACGTAGTCGTGGGAGAAACCGAGGGGGTCTTGGCTACTGGCCGAGGGTTATAGTGGGACCGGTACCGTGGGAACAGGAAGTAAGAGTTATTGAGGATACAGACCATAATAATCTCCAGGCTAAAATAATCAAATGTATCTTCTTGTGAGAGGATGTCTGTGTGTGCGTGTGCGTGTGCGTGTGCGTGTGTGCGTGTGTCCGCTGTTTAATACTGTAACATGTTGTGCAGTTTCTTGTAAATACCAAACATCCAACTCAATTCTCTAGGGGGGGCATCCTTGTCTGGTAAAGTTCCAATTATTTTGCCTTTATTTACTATATTCAAGACACCAAATTCCTGTAAATACTTGGTTGATTACAATATCAATTTTTGTTGTATCCTGCTTTTAAGACACATGGAAACAAGGTTTTATGTTTACCATGTAAACACATCTATACATCCCTATTACAGTATGTCACTCCTACTAAAGTTCCTTTCATTTTGTCTAAACATTAAAACGTTTTTTTTGGTTGGAAGTTTTTTTTTATGTTACCAAACAACTTAGGATATAGGATGCCATATGCTGTACAGATTTCAAATCCCTTGAGGCAAATGTGTGACTTGTAATTGTGGGCTTTATAAAGAAAAAATGCCTTGATTCTCCTTCCAAATCCTTATCTTCTTTAAAACATATCGTATTGGGTGCTTTGGAATTGTGAAATGCAACATCCTTACATCCTATTCAAGCAGTCATTATATCCAAATAAAGATACTACTACTTCTGCTAAGACAATCTACCTGCATCTCAAACAGACAGTCCTATATGAATTATGGCAGGGCTAGTTAGCAACAACACCTGGATTTCATCTGTGTACTCTGACTCAAACAAATGCCTCGTAACCCTACAACCACATTTCTGCAGCCCTAAAAAGTGTGAAGGAATGCAAACAGGCATAGACATAACACTCGCATGCACATTAGCATTGAATGTGGCGGTAAGTGATTCACAGGCTGATATTCAAAACATGCGGCCCTCTGCTATCCTTCAATTGGTTTACCTAGCAGATGTTTAACTTTGCTTTTGACCTTTGCTTACATTTTGAGGAACAGATGTACCACGCAAAGGAAAATCTTGTAAGATGCACAATTTGTATAAAAATATAAGATAATCTATTGTGAAACTGAATTTATCGGCAACCTTGCGATCTCTTTTGAAAACTAAAACTAAAAAGAAATGTAGGTGCAATGTAGATACTCCAAATGATTTGCCTTATGGAATTCATCAAATCCTCCAAAGTTCAACATATTCTAACAGTTTGCATCTTAAAAGCATCTGAGGACAGAGACACATACTGTTTATCCTCTTGTCTTGTTGTTTATGAGGAATGTTTCTTGAGAGTGGACCAGACCTTTTGAGGCCAAGATGGTGACGTACTAAACCCCCGCCCAGCCGGGATTCTGCTGAACATATGCTCTGCTGGCATTGACTCTTCCAGTAGGGATCCAGGAAAACGTGTTGTCCTTGGACACCGTTACCAAAGCAGCATCAGCAGGAAATACTTGAGATGAAGAGTCAGTAGATGAGGGGCCAGGAGGAGCTGTTTCATCATATGATGAGAGAGACCTCTGAACACTTACGTTTCCCCTCCATGTCAGCTTGCATTTTGGTTCCAAATGTAATTGCCAAACATCTGCCCTTGTTCACTCAGATATCGTCACAGTGCAGAGTTCACTATACACTCACTGACACAATAACAGCCATTGTATAGTATGAGGAGAATGTGCATATATCTGTCTGAAAATTAGATCGATAGTGAGGTGGGCTGATGATCGGAAGGTTGCGAGTTCAAATCCCGCCTGGAACACCACCACTAGTGTGCCCTTGAGTAAGGCACTTAGCCCTCAGTTACTCCAGGGAGAATGTCCCTGTAATTGTAAGTCGCTTTGGAATAAGGCATCTCCTAAATTGTAAATTGTAAATTATATTTTTGGGAGAATAAACCCCACAGATCCTCAACTCCGGTGTGTCTCACTCATTAACAACGCAACACAGATCAACAAGAACGTTGTCTGCTACAGTAGCCATGAACTCGCTTGTATTTTGTTATTTGAGGGGGGGTGGATGCGTGGGCCACCCGAATAGGTTAAGGGGCCTTTGGCTTTTCTTGCCGGTGCGGGTGCGGTGCCCCCACAAATAGAATCAAATTATGTGGGAAACACTGAGGACTGTACCATAAGACTTCCGAAGTTAAATATTTACCTTCCCTTCTGGTAGGTAAATATGCAGTAGAAATCTTTATAGTGCCAAATGGGCAAAAAGGACAATAATATGCAAGGCACTTCTTCTTCAGGAAACTGTTTGACATTCCAGCCCACTCAGGAAGTGTACAGGTCAGGAAACTTTCACTATGAGGAGAAGAAACCTCTTGAAAAATATGGTACTACAAGCTGCAGAGCCACGAATAGTTACATTTTTTTTAAAATAGTAATTCGAAACAACTTCAAGCATGGTACACCAATCAAATGTGTCAGGGCAGAAACTGCTTTTTCTGAGACAAAAATAATGATGATTCCATAAATATAAAAAGGTGTTTAAAGATACAACACATAGACAAGATTCAACTAGCAGATCACTGACCTTTGCTTTTGAATAGACGTGCCTCCCTAAAGCTCTCATCACATGCAGTGCAGTCTGTTTTTCAGCAGGTATCCCTACTCAAATGTCTCTGAGCAAAGAAGAAGCCCTGTGGTTCCCCAGCAGCAGGACTATGTGAGAGTCTGTAATAAATCAAATAATAAGCATGTGATTAAGAAACTGGCTGTAATAACATGACTCAGACTGCAGATGGCGACAAAACCTTATATGAATACATGTGGGGAGATAGGGGGAGACATGTAAATAAGCAACTATCTGGTAGTTTATGTTTAATTCTACATTTGTATAGGCTAGCCTAAGCACTGTGGATAGCTTATCGTATGCACGTTAGTTCAGTACTGTTACTTAGGACATGTATAGTTGTAAGGTTAAGTGTATTGTGTGGTCATTGTTAGTGCCACTCAAACGTATTGTCAAGCCTCTCCTTTGCTCTTTCAATGTGAAACTAATTTAACGGCGAGCAATATATTAGCAGGGATTTTGCTAGGCTTAAACTTTGAGTGTCGATTTATACAAAGGAATAAGCAGCCTGTTCCAACATGACGGAATGAGAATAACTTACGCTAACAAACACATTTTACAACTTGGGCAAAGACAGTCTTAAACTGAATCTTACTCACCTTTGTGGGTGACATTGCAACTGTAGGGTGGCACAGTTAAGCTTGCAAACTTATAATCTCCTTAATTGTTGTTCATTTTAGTTAATTAAGCCTTATGTGTATTTTTAAGAACATTTTCTGCTTTTTCTTGAAACAAGTCTGGAGTCCGGACACTATTTACCGGTATTCATCCACATTACTTCGCAGTTAGCATTACTTCATTACTCCAGCAAACGGCGCCACATTCAACACGTGTGTGCTGTCTACATGCCTCCAGTCTAAAGAAAGCTATGCTGCTTTCACTGTCGCTTGTAACTTCCTAAATCCTGCATTAAAATGAACCTGTTCTGTTTTAAAAGGTGTATAATTGTCAATGTTTTCACAACGCTAGTCAAGTGGCAAATAAACTAAAACAAAAATGCAACGTGAACCATTGAAAACAACAAGAGCTTAAATTAAATTAGTCGCGATATCGCAGTATTTCTTTAAATATGATTCAAATAGTTCTGAAAGCCCTTGAACGCAACGTGAGAATTTTGGCTTCTTCCGCGTTTACCTGAAACAAGGGAGTTTATTTTATGGGCGTTAGTTTCTGAATTGAAGAGGTCACCAACAAAGCTGTATATTTTTTACGAGTGGTTTATTGTTAGAAATAGAAAAAAGAAAGCAAAAAGGGAAAGGGAAATGAGGTGAACACGTTTACCGAAAAAGGCACTTAAAGTTTTGTTTTCGTCAAAGTTAGCTCAAGTTGTTTACAATGGGATGCTGCAGCAGTACCGAGGTAAGTTAGCTACAATACAATGAAACTTATTTCTGCTTTGAACCTTAAAATCCTTACTCCAAACCGCAGAGGATTTTGTGTAGACAACGTGTGAACAATAGCGTCACTTCAGCAGTGCAGCAGCTTGTTTTACAGCAACAACAACAACTCACTGATTTGTCTGCAGATCTCGGAGCAGCTGGGAGGCAATTGCATCGCAGGAGCTACAACTAAACAGCATTAATTATATCTGGTTTAATCTTTATTGTCTTTTATTTATGCCTTGGCAGATTAAACGAGACTGGAAACCGCTGGAGGAGCGCAGCTGCACAGACATCCCATGGCTCCTCATATTCATACTGTTTTGTGCTGGCATGGTAAGTTTTTAGCTATTTGCGTTTACATTGAGTTGCCATTTAATTACGTTAACTCGACGTGTGATTTTTTAACAAAACGGCAAAGCCAAATCACAGCAGTAGATGCTGTATCCATTATTGTTTTCAGTTTTTATTGAACATTTTTACATGATTGTTGACTCATGAATGTTTTCATCATTTTGGATGAGATATATATTTATATATGATTTAATATACAAAATCGAGTCAACAACTCCCTAAAACACTCTCAATAAAAACTGATCAGGTTAACCTTCATGGGGCTATGATTGATCTCAGGGCTGTTACATTATAGGGCATTACTTTAACGTTAATATCATACAAACATCTCAATTTTTGGCAAATTAAAACTCATGTAATTTATATTTTAAATGTTGTCAAAGTAACCTGCTGCATTGTGCAATTTTGTAATTAAAATACTAAATTGTTATATTTCATGTTATCCTGCATAGTTAACATTAGCTGCTGAAATCTGTTTCATCTGCAGGCGTGTATTTGTGGCTATCCCATCGCCACAGGAGCTGCCAGCAGACTGGTCCGAGGATATGACAGTTATGGCAACACCTGTGGAAAGAATAACACCAAGATAGAGGGAGTACCTCTCAGTGGCCGGGACATGACAGAAAACAAGTTAGTCTCATCAAATATTTTCCTTTAAATATGTTGCATCAACCTCATGCTGTCCCTTAAGAAAATGTTATTTGATCTCTTTTCCTTATTAGATCCCCTACAGTGACGGAACATTTGTTTACATATTAAATAGAAATGTTGTGACCTCTTTTGCCCTGCAGTTTAGTGTTGGTGGCACATAAGAAGGCGTTCAGTATTACATGTTTGCATGCAAGGATTGCATCACATAATCCTAATCTAATTTGCCACAAACAACCGGTTACTGCATTTGTAAGCAGTTTATCTTCCGTTCTTGCTTACATAGCTGATATCTTTGAGCTATCCAGACAACGACCTACATATATTCACTTAACAATTACATTTCCAAATAGCAGTAAGATTCTCTCTTAGACAAAAGTTGACATTAAGTAAAATACATGGTTTTTCTTGCGTCCAGAAAAGTTTGATGTCAGAAGGTTATTGTAGGTTAATATCAGGAACACCGAACTTCACTGACATATGGTCACACTGTGCTCTGCTGCTTACATTTCTGATATACAATATGTGATTGAATAGCATACTTAGAGGCATTTCTTCATTTTTTTTAATAATTTCTCAATTAGACAGACAAGGTTAATGTGTTTTTTTTTAATCACCCAAACAGAATCGTCCCAAATCTTTCTCTAGTCATTGTTTATGTGAAAGTCTTTGATTTTATTTTTCCTTTTGGGCAGTTGCTTTCCATCAGCATGCAGCCTGTAGGCCCAGTTTTACTCGAACAATGGGTCATGCTTTATTGATGGGCTGATTGCCCATGGAGGCTTTGGCTAAAAGGCGTTTTGGCCACAAAGACAGATCTGTGCGACAGGATAGTAAATGTCACCATCTTTCATTTTCTGCAAAGACGAAAACAGTCCCAACTGGCATACTAATAACCAAATATACTTCTATTTTGTTCATATGGGAAGTGTTTGTTATTGGATGTGGCAGCAATTAATTTTGACCTGTTAACTAACCTGATTTTATTTTCCTTCTCATCAGGTATGTTTTCTTTCTAGACCCTTGCAACCTTGATTTAATCAACAGGAAGATCAAGTCGCTTGCCCTTTGTGTCTCCAAATGTCCTGCTGCTGAACTGCAAACTTACAATGATGTAAAGCAGTTTTCTCTGAATAACGGTGAGGAAAAAACAACTGTTTTTGGGAAAGGGTTGTCCAGTGTATTAAATCTGTTTACACATATATTTATTTATGAATAATTCTCTGCATAAATGGGATAAACATTCAATACCATTATGAATCATTGCAAACCAGTCTCAAATACTTTCATAAAACTGAACATAATCTAACTTTTTTTTTTCGGTTTATAGGATCTCATCTCTGCTCCTATGATATATCTCCAACAAGATACACAAGCCATGCAGATAGATCGACTAAATGTCCCAAACTTCCTGTCCCGCCAAGGTAATCAAGCATATCTTTTTAGGCTTTAATTAAATATCTATTCACCAACAAGTCCTTTACTTATTACTGGACAAGATAGCGTTCCTACAAACACCAATTGTTTCCTTTATTACAATAAATTGGTGTTGTTCCAATACTGTTATTTTTTATGGAAAAGGGCACATCCAGTAAGGTCGATGTGGGTATTGTCTTTTTAAATGTTGATCTGTGTGTATCTGGTATTTATAGATAGGGAACTGTTATCTTTTTAGCATTGCTATTTAGAAAAATACTCTCATTCCAATACAAAAAAGGACCAAATTAATAATGCAGATAAAGATAAGGTTCAACGACTATCCATTCAAAATAAATTAACCAATGTTTTCCTTCATGTTTGTAGTAAGTCTGTCCCCCTGTTACACCGCTGTATTCCTACGGATATCGGCTGCTATGCTGAATTCGCCCAGGCCTTCGTCACATTCGTCAGTGACAACAGCGTGCTGCGCCGGGTCGTCGCCGGGGTGATGGCCAGCAAGGAGATCATCATGGGCCTCTGTCTACTGGCTTTAGGTATTACAAATGATTACATCTAGAATGTTTTAAGGCATAGCATGAATTATTTTCATCCAATGAATTAAACAAATAATAACTCTGCTGCTCCCCCTTCACAATTGCTCATGAGGGTTCAGTAGGAAGGCTACTTCGGAAGTGAAGCTATTTTTGTCAAGGAAATAACAGGAAATGTGTGAGTGGTTGCTGCCATGGTATCCACTGAAGTTTAGCCCACAGTCATTCATTTGAGGTCTAATTCCTCCCATTGGTACAGCAAAAAGACAGAGCTGATCCCATGTGAATTGTATTTCCTTTATTTTAATCATTTGATCTTTCTAGTTTGGATTGATTGTCTAGGCAACAATAGCCGAACAGAGATTCAACCATCTGGGCTTTTTATTTAGTAACTGTTCAAATGAAATGCAAACACATAGCTATATTGAATTGAAAAGTGTGTTTAATTCATGTTTAAGATTAAGCAAAATTGTAACTTTAACAAACAGGTACCCTAAAATCTGCACATTTCTTCAATTTGAAGTTTTCCATGTTAGTTGTTTACTCCTGATCAACACTGTTTTTTGTTTTTTCAGTTCTGTCCCTGATCATGATGGTTGTCATTCGTTACATTTCCAAAGTACTGATGTGGATTCTAACCATTCTAGTAATCATCGGCTCCATTGGTAATTTTCAGAACCCTCATAATTATTTTAACACTGTTTAAGTTTTATCTTGGCTCTCTCAATTACCTTATGCCGACACAAGATGACAGCACATTCATGTTTTATTTAAACACTTTCCTATTGGTTGCAGGTGGGACCGCCGTCCTCTGGTGGCTCTATGCGGATCACAGGAAGGCTCTCGAAAATAACACCCTATCAGTATTTGGGAAAGAAGTTGCATCAGACAATGTTAAAGCCCTGCTTGTGTATTCAATTGGTGCTACAATATTCACGGTATGACTGGGTGCACAGGAACTTTATTTATGGATGTATTTGGTGATACAGTATCCTATATTATTATTAGAGAGTTGCTCTCTTTTTTACATTACACAAGGTTCATACATTATTTATTGCTAAGCAGTCAGTGGGATTCAAACACTGTAACAGGAGTAATACATGTATACCTCTCAACATTAAAGATCTATTTAGATGTGTTTCCTCCGCCATATTTCAATCATTTCTTTGTGTGAACCTCCAGGTAGTCCTCTTGCTTGTGATGTTCTTCATGAGGAAGCGTGTTGCTCTTACCATCTCCCTGTTCCACGTGGCTGGAAAAGTGTTCATCCATCTTCCTCTGCTGGCCCTGCAGCCTTTCTGGACCTTCCTCTGCCTCATGCTCTTCTGGGTCTACTGGATCGCTGTGCTTCTCACTCTCGGGACTTCAGGTGAGAGCAAAAGCTTTCAGAGAGCTCCAGTACCCGGATTTATGTGGATTGGTGTATACATGCTTGCGAAAAGTACAAAGCACACAGACCAGCCGGATCTGTTGCTCGTAACATTCCCAAACGAGTAGAATACTAAGTAGTCACTTGTGACATTTTGTCTTGTTTTTGTGGCATGACTCAACTCCCACATTTGGAATCTTGTGCCAGTCTCGTGATGTGGGAGGATGGAGTCAAATAACTTCTCTCTTCATCTCCCACTTCTCTTTTCTACAGCTCATTTTTACTAACCTTAAAACCTTTTTTGTTTGTTAATATACAAACGTAGGATATTATACTAATCATTAAAATAGATAGAAATTGCTCACACTATTTACATTTTATCCTTGGCTTGTTTGACCTTTTTTCTCTTAACGGAGTTGAACTAGTTGTTGAAATAGTTTATAAAGAACAATGTTGACAAAGTAGTCTTTCATGCGTTAAGAGTCATAGACTGTGTATATCAGAAAGATACAATCTTTTTGCCCATGATTCCAGGTAGGATGCTCAAAAGGACATGGGGACATACAGTCAATTAAAACTATTTAGATATTTTGTTTAATGACTCAATCCCATATTCCCGCTCGTTTTCCTCCACAGGGACAGCAGTGAAGAACAACTCTACGGGCTTGGTGGAATATCAGATGCAGGGGCCTTACCAGTACTTGGTGTGGTATCACGCTGTGGGTCTCATCTGGATCAGTGAGTTCATACTTGCCTTCCAGCAGATGACCATCTCTGGAGCTGTGGTCACCTACTACTTCACAAGGTACGAAAGAAGCCACAGGAAGACATTTATTATAGTGTTTTTATTGTCTCTGCTGATGTTTATTTGCTCATTCCGTTTTTAGGCTGTATAATTTAAATAATGTATTTCTCTCTTTTTAATTTGCTTAAGGAATAAGTCCCAGATGCCTGCAACTCCCATCCTCTCCTCCATGGCACGTACCTTCCGATACCATTTGGGTACTCTGGCCAAAGGCTCCTTCATCATCACGCTTGTTAAGATCCCTCGCCTCATCCTAATGTATATACACAGCCAGCTCAAGGGAAAGGTGAGCTGTTAAATTATGCAAAGTCTATTTAAAAATGCAAAAAACGGTACTATGGCTTTATGTTGAGCCTGTAAGTGGCAATCATCTGAACTTTTAAATACATACATTTTAATCAAGTTTGTTCCTTCTTTTTTCATAGGAAAACGCCTGTGCCCGCTGCATGCTGAAAGGCTGTATTTGCTGTCTGTGGTGTCTTGAGAAATGTCTTGCGTACTTGAATCAAGTAAGTAATTTCAGGTTGGTGAAGGAAAGTATTCTATTATACTGTAAAGTAGAAACAAGATCCCAAGTATTTACAGTGTACACGTCTGCATCGCTTAATTTCAGAACGCTTACACTGCGACAGCCATCAACAGCACAAATTTCTGCACCTCTGCCCGAGACGCCTTCCTCATCCTGGTGGAGAATGCCCTCCGAGTGGCCGCCATCAACACTGTCGGCGACTTTGTCCTCTTTTTGGGAAAGGTACCGCACAGCAACATATTCTGTGATATTGCCCACATCGAACTGAACTTGTTGTTTTCTAACTTGTCGTATATCTACTCTGTCAGGTGCTTGTAGTCGCCTGTACTGCCTTCGCCGGCGTCCTGGCTCTGAACTACCAGCGGGAATACACCGTGTGGGTCCTGCCCCTCCTCATCGTCTCTGTGTTTGCCTTCCTGGTGGCTCACTGCTTCCTCTCGGTCTTTGAGAATGTGGTGGATGTTCTCTTCCTCTGCTTTGCTGTGGACTCAAAGTACAATGATGGTAGCCCTGGACACGAGTACTACATGGACAAAGCCTTAATGGTGAGGGCATAAAGGGGATACAAAGGCTGACAACTAATGAAGTAACAATAATTACTTTTAGATTAAGGCACTTAAGGAATGAAGGAACCACCTTTATTAGCAGATTAGTTCTGAAGTGGTACGTAAAAGAGCATTAGGAAGAATTCTTGGCACTCATCAGTTTATAATAGACACATTTTGCCACAGCTTTTTTTAAATTTCAATAATTTTTGGAAAACGTATCTAAAACCCTCTAGTTGTCTCAGCCCTTGCCCAATAATGGAAAAATAGTTAATGGCTAGTTTAAAACAGCACTTCTGAAAGGCGGATGCTAATGATCAAATCTCACCTCATTGGGCAATAAGCGATTTAGAAAATGTTTTGCTTCAGAGTTGCTGAATCTGACTTTGAACACAGAAAAAAAATCATTTCGAATATAAAAAAAACTGATTGAAATCCAAAAAGGGTATTACCATTTTCTATATCTTGGACATTTATGAACTTTTTATGACTTTATTCTTAACAAAATACAAGAATAACATTCTTATAATTAACATGAGGGTAAAATATCTTATCTACAACGCTTTCTTTCCTTTCTCAGGAATATGTTGAGAACAGTAAGAAAAGTGGCTTGTACAAGCCTCGGGATGGACATGGACAGGAACTGAAGTCAATGGTGAGTTGGAAATGTTTTGTAGTCTTCTTCGCATGTTGCTTTATGGAAGCTGTCAGAGTCCGGTAAAAAGCAAACAGCTCCTTGTGAAATTCAAACAAAAAAAAACATTAAACTAGGACCATGTCTCATTCAAGCAAGTAAACAAGTTGAGCACACTGCGTATGTGATTGTAATACTTTGAGTTTTGTGGGTTAAAAGTGAGTTAATATTTCTTTTTAAAAATGTCTTACAGGCACGTGGAGGGACTTCTGCTTGACCAAGCATCAGAAAGACAGCAAAAAACCACTAAAAAATATGCCAAATATTAACTCAGAGATAACCAGCTTACCACTCCAGGGACAACAATAAGATAACAATAATCTTTTAAAAGAAGCTACAAGGAGCAAAAGCTGCATTGGATTATATTGAATGTTATATGATAGCATATTAAGTTTGACACTAATGGCTATAATGTTAAAGCTCTTTTAGGTTTGTGTTATTAGATAAGTTTGCTTCACATTGCAATGTTTCCCTATAACAGAGTTTTTGTTTTTATAAGATTTGAATGATATGAGCGATTTGACATGGTTTAACATGTTTGTTTTTCTTCGTGACATAATTCATGTCAGCTTTAGTTTGAGTGGTTTGGTGTACATTTTTAAATGAATAGCTAACTGTGTTTTGTCAAAGGCTATTCAAGTTGTTTTAACTTCTCAATTTTATACATTAAACAAAAAACAAAAGTGTGTTGTTTGATCTTATGTCCATATCTTTAAAACCCTGCATAAGTCTAACAGAGTTATCCTGGCAATTATACAATGAGACAGTAGGGGGCAGCTAACAAACATACACATATCAAGGTTTGAATTTGAATTTGACAGCAGCTTTAACAGGGTGTGCAAATGCAATATAAGAAATATGAACAACCAATTTGATATTTTTTCAGATGGAGTTTATAATATTCTTCTGACATTTGTTGAAGATGTCACTGACAAGTTCCTGAATCTTAAGGACAGCTGACATAAAGTGTAAAAGGTGGGGTGCTGGACAGAAATATTTAATTTAAAGTAAATATATTGGATGTAAAGTTACAGAGGGGAAGCTGCAGCAGAATGCATACAATGTTAGGACTCTCCATCTGATGTGCAAAATGCAGCACAGGTTCCTGAAGAGGTTACAGGTTGTGTTAACAAAATGAATGTTGTCAATTTAGATTATTCTTCCATCAGAGGCTTTATTTAACCTTAACACGTTATGTTCCATTTACATCTGCTCACTATCTTTCTCAAGTTCAACACAGAAACCATTGTATTTGAGAGTTAGACAACGAAACTGTGAGGTCTAACATTCACCACCTGAGGGCAGCAAATCCTCTAAAATGAATGACCCTTCCATTGTGAATCCTCATCATGCCCTTCAAACCTAATGAGAACACAATTACATTTTAACCTCATACCAGGCCTAACACGTTTATAGTTCTCTGAATCCATTTAAGCAAAAATACATTATCATAATAAATGGTTTTGCCATTTTTATTTCTCATCAGTTTTTGGAAAGCTTATTCAAGATTTCATTACCTAATTCAAATGTTATTTAAAAAAGATTAAACCTATGTAAAGCAGTTGGTTACTTCTGGGGCACTGTGTGAAAACAGTGTAGATTAAATGTATCTGAATATCCTCCACGCATCTTCTCCAGTTTTGACTTTAGCTGTACTTTTTGCAGGTATCTCAAACATACTTTCTGCAAACATATCTTGCAAATGTATGTTATCTCCATGTACAAAGGTAGTAAGATATTTGTTTACATGTTAAGTATTGAACAACCTATTATAATAGGTAAATACAAAATGAAGTGTATGATTATTTGTTTTCCCTCCTAGAATTTAAAAGTGTACAAGTACAATTGGAAGGTTACATTTATGTTAACCATAAATCTGAAACCCCATGAGTGTATCCACAATCTACTGATGTATAGATTACGGCCTCATCCCCTCCAGTTCCTTTCCAATCCACCATTGACCAGGCAACAATCGAGCCTCTAAGCGCTTAGAGGTTATTGATGTGAAAGCTCTCTGCTCACTGCTGTCCGCCTCCATAAAACACAGGAATCCAGAGGAAAACAGCTCGATGGCTAGTAGTGAGTCACACCTAAGTGATCTCAGTAGTACTTACAGAACGCTAACCATTCCTGGAAGCCTTTTGTCATTGAATAGAAAGACAGGAAAACACATTCTGCTCGAGGCCACCTCAGCAGCAAGCAGCAATATCTGACAGCCTGAATGTTCATAAATATATATTTGATTGTATCACTTGAGTAATCATGATGGTGATTATGTTCACTTGTTGTTGGGCACAAAGCAGGCTTGGACATGTGTGTGGGTTAAAGGAATGTATTGAACCTCCTAATACAGAGATCAGATTTATTTAATTATACTGAATTTTGGACACTTTTTAATATCATAACATATCCTCCTGGGACCCAGCCCATTGAAAATGTCCACTGTAGTGGACATTTTGTTAACATGCATCTCCTTTTACTCTTTTGAGCTACTCTATCAATCCCTGATGTATACTGTACAGAGGACATCCTGGTCTTTCCAGTGATATGTCATTGGTTAGAATTGCATGCTGGGAAGTTCCTCTTTCTTTTCATCCAAAATGGCTGGCATACCAAAAACAACATTTTATAGAAGCAGGAGAAGTCAAATATTGTTGAATAATTGTAATTGTTACCATGAAAATCATATATGTTCTTGTTTATTAACATGTGAGGAACTGTATAATTAGTTCTGAAAGCAATTAAATAATTCAAGTTTTCAAATAACAGCTCTTTTATAAATGTCCATTCTAGTGGACGTCAGGACCATCTTCATGGACTTAATGACTCAATATTGTTGCAGGAGACGGAACTGAAGCAGACATTTTCTGTACCAGATAGTTAAGGGATATTCAGATTTTGAGCTCTCAGATGATGAGAGAGATGAGGATTTCACTGGATAGAAGAGGGTCAAGAAGAAGGCGGGGAAAGATGCAGGAGGCTCCATGAGCGCACAGATACAGACAGAGAGACAGATAGGGACGAGCTGGAAAGACATGGCCCTCTGTGGGCCAAGAGTAGCACGTATTTCTTATTGTTGTTTTTATTTTAAGTGGAGCCATGAAAAATGAGAATTGCCTCAGGAATGCAAGCTTTGTTTCTATGAGCATGGTCAAATGGAGACCACATCCATAAAACTAGTCAAGATGACCCTACAGCCCGTGCCGACTGGAGTCAATGAGGTACTTTTCGCAGTACATTGACTACAAAGTCTTTGAAGATCTGGAAAGATTCACCAAAAACCAAACTAGTTTTTTAGTGACCAAATAAACAGCAATGTTCAGATCAATTACTTATTCATGTTTTAAATAAAGGTGAATGTATTATTGTATTAATATCACTCTATAACCATAATACGTTACATAGTCTATCTGTTAATTTTGGCTGTCTTTTCAAACTAAAATGGTCCTGACGTCCTCTACAGTGGACATACTGTAACATTTAAAAATTAAAGGGGTCCTATCATGCAAAATGCACTTTGTGATGTCTTTTATACATAAATATGTGTCCCCGGTGCGTCGGGGAACTCACGCAGCGTCAGAAAATAAAACCCTCTCTCTTTTCCTCCGTACCCAAATCTTTTAAAAACGGGTGTACAACGAGCGGATACAGATTTCCATCCGCTGTGACGTGTCCATCCGCTGTGACGTCGGCAGACCCACAGAAAGTTGCTATCAGAAACAATGCCTGACGTGTTTTGGACGTCATCTCGTCTTTGTTTACATTAGCAAGCCTCGCTAACACTCAGAGCTAACCTGTACTGTGTAGAGCACATGTGTTTAAAAAGCAGGAAATACAAAAATAACTCACCTTGTGATAAACCTGCAAGAAAAAAAGCATTTGAGCTCCATACTATTTCAGAAATAATCCTTGATGTGGTTTAAACAGGATGGCGTTTTATCACAGCAGAATTTAACTTTATCTCCGGTAGAATTCTGATCAGGCATTAGCTCCGCCTCCTCTTCTTTTTTCTTTCAAGCTAAGGACCCAAGATCCGCGTTTCTCTAACAGGGCTGCAAAAGAGGGGTTTGAGCAGTATGAGGCATGGCTACAATGGGTGATCTGTTTGGTATTTTGAAAAAAAAACTTCACAGACATGTTTTATATAGGTATGGCCCTACAATATATTTTTCAAATATAGCATGATAGGTCCACTTTAAATTAAATTAAAAAAGTCTAAATTGCAAGATGTTTTTTTAACCCTAAATAGGTAGGAAATCACAAAAAAAAGGAATTGGAAGACACTTTTCTCCCTCGGGTCCCAGGAGGATATAACATCATATATAAAAGAAATGCAGGCATGCTGATTCAAGATCTTAGAATGCATTTCAAATTAATCATATATACTTGTTTTCCCTTTTGCCCTTGTTTTAAAACCTATTTTAACACATTCTGAAAGTGCATTTTATTTATTCACATTGCATGGCAGGCACTGTATATCATCCTTTATAGTTCTCTGCACAAGCAGTATATTAAATAATCATTTGTTTTTTGAAAGCAGCTATAAAGCCTTGATTCCACTGGTAAATAGTTTACAACCATTAAACCTGCCCCGTCCCATATGGATGTCTATTGTTTGCGCTGACTCAGGTGCTGTAACATGAGCCTGCTAAGTGTATGTGTGTTTGTGTCAGAGAGTATTGACCAAACAGTGACTTCACCATTAAGATGAGCCATTCTGCCCCCTCAGCAGCTTAGCTCTGGAAGATCAGTCCTTTTCAACGGTGCTTAGTTTTAGTACACAAACAAGAATTCAACGATGAAAAGAGCTCACAGTGGAGCTATAGACATGCAAACAGAGAGTAAACCTTTTATAACAATAGGACGAAATGACTGTAAACATATTTATTAGAATAGGGGGATAAGTAAGAACACACCCATATGCCGTATGTCTTACGAAAATATATACTATTTTCCCATGATAAGGCAAAGGGACATTAAAACTAACACAATATTGAAAAAACCAAAGCTTAGGATCAAAGATAATTATTGTTTAATAAGGTCTTGCTCATTGCAAACTCTACTTGCTGATGAAGATAATAATCTGAATAATAAGTGTAAATCTAACCACTACATGGACATTGTTGTTTGCATTGTTCCATATAAATATATTATGTCTAATAACACAAATGAAGTAGGTGATCACACCTTATAAAGTAACAGTACCTCATCATACACCAGAGAGTGGAAGCGATAAAAAGAACCTGCGTCACAGACTATTGCTTATCCAAGAAACCTGATTTCCGAGCATCATAAGTGCTTCCTGCAATTTGAGGCATTTCCCATCACACTCAGTCATACTGTCTCCCCTTTTTATTGTTGGACAGCCTCCAACAACAGGCTGCACTGTGTGGAAATTAGCCACATGAGATGGTATCGCTTCACATTTCTTTGGTCCGCACATACAGTCGGAGGAAATGTGCGTGAAAATGAACCTTACATATTTACCCAGTGACTTCCCTCTCTGGCTGCTGCTGACCATTCCTGTTGCCAACACACACACACACACACACACACACACACACACACACACACACACACACACACACACACACACACACACACACACACACACACACACACACACACACACACACACACACACACACACACAGCGTGTGACTTCCTGCAACCTGTTTACAGCAAG